TGAGCTTGAGATAGATTGGATCATTTGAAATTATTGATTGAATTGGAGCGAGTAGCTTATAAGTTAGCGTTGTGGCCATAATTTTCAAGTGTGCTTCTAGCATTTCATATTTCCATGCTAAGGAAATATGTACATGATCCATCTCATGTCTTAGAATCACAATTGGTAGAATTAAATCTTGAATTTTCTTATGAGAAGCAATTGGTGGTAGTAGTAGACCGCTAGGTTAAAAAATTATAGAATAAGGAGATTGTGTCCATTAAGGTTATTTGGAGAAATCATTCGACCGAAGAAGCCACTTGGGAGGTTGAGGAGGAAATGAAGAGGAAGTATCCTCATTTTTTCACCTTTTAAGGTATGGCTAGAAGTAAAATAAATGATGAATTTTTCTTAAGAGGGAGAATATAATAACCTAAAAAATGGAGGGAGTCGGTATAAAAAGGGCAGCAATTGCCCCTTTTCAAAAATTTCTTTCTCATTTCTTCTCCTCTCTCTTGCCACTTTCTCTATAAATTTCCTCCCAATTGGCTCTTTAATTCCTATGCAAATTCTTTGTTAAAATAGCTTAGGAAGACCATAAACAAGTAGATTTACGTAGAGCTTAGCTAGATTGGAGCTTGGAAAGCTTAGAGAATTAGGAAGAAATTAGGCATTGAAGGATAAATTTTAAATGTAAGATTTATGATCAATTAATATTTAAATTGTGAATTTTATAAATGATTAATGATGATATTGAAATCTAATTACTTTGGGTTGTTAATTGCTTGAGGAATTGATTAGATTAAGGTTAGTGTTTTTAAGACCTATATAGGGAAAAGTTTGATTAAGTAATTTTAGGTATTTGAATGATGTCTAATTATATTGGATAAGTGAATTACGAAGTTAATTTAAAGTGAATTGAGTAAATTTGAGTAATTGAGAGGTTGAAGATGATGACTAATAAAAAAATTGAAATTTAGGTTTTAATTGAAAACAATTTGGGAGAAATAAAAAATGAAGCTCGTATAAATACAATTAAAGGTAAATGGAATGAGTATTGGATGAATTAGGATGGAATTGATTAATTCAATCATTTTTGAGTTATTCTTCAATATATGATATTGATGGTTATCCATCATGTGATATTAGATTCTTCAAAGCAAGGGACTCCATCTTAACCATCTTGACTTATATTCAACTCTTTGTCATACTATGAGTGGATATTATATAGTGTTTTGTGTTTTAAATTCCTTCGTTTATGTCTATCATGCATCATTAGTTTAAGTATGATTTAAAAACTTTCCATTAGAACTTAGGTGGGAACGGATTTCATGAATTTTGAAATGATTTCATATCAAATTGATTTGATATGAATTAGAAAGGGATTTGAACATGTTTTTGAACGAATGTGTTATAAATTATTGTTTTAATTATCTTTATATTTTCTATGAATGCTTATTTACTATATATATATATATATATATATATATATATATATATATATATATATATATGGTAAATTTGAGCATGCATTATGTTTGAAATGCTACTCACCGAGCTGTTGATTGCTCACCTCTCATTATTTCGGTTTTATCGGATATTAAGGGATTGCCTATGGCTTCCTTTGGCTACTTGTCTTGAAGTTAGTACTTTGATTGTGCTACTTATTTAATTATAATTCCTATAACCTATTTTTTTTTCTAATTTTTTATGAGAAGCTCTGCAGTTATTGCTTATGGATATTATATTAGGAATTAATTATGAATATTGATTGAGAAATACAATGATGGCATTAAAATTATATTGTGTATTAGAAATATAATATGATGAATGTTAGTGAAGAATATTGTGAAATAAAATACTATTTGAGGTGGTAATGATTTGAGGATTTTATATTAGTATCCAAGGTCGGCTTTGGTCGAGGTGGGCCTCCCAATTCCCTCAATCCTTATGCCAATTATGGCCCACTCTTGAGGTCGTGACAATCTTTCCCCTGTATTGTTTTACTAAAGAATTTTGATTCTCTAGTATCGTTAAAAATTAAATAGTTCAATAAAGGTGAATATGTTTGAGTGGGTCCGGAGATTCCGTCGGATCTCCTTAGTTGAGGAGTAGGAGTTACTAGTTCTAGTTTAGCTTTAGTTTCCTTATCTTTATAATCTAAATTTTGAATCCCGGATATATCATCCTTCAAAATCTCTTCTAAATCAGCTTTCGTACTTATTTTTGATCGGTTCTCTATACTATTAGAATTTTTTCCAAGCTTGTCTTTATACAATATATTTTCATTAAAGGCCTCATCCTTATGTCTTATGATCTTCCTATTCTTATCATCTCAAAATAGATAACCAAAATCATCGAGCCATATCTAATAAAGTAACACTTTCTACCTTAGGTTTAAGCTTATTTCTATTGTTAGATCTTACATGTACATATGAAACACAACCAAAGGTTATCAAGTATGAAAAATTTACCTTTTTCTGATCATAATTTTTCGGGTAATTTGAAGCCCAATGGAATTGAAGGTTCTCTATTCATGAGATAAACTATTGTATTCACTACATTAACCCAGAATGCTTTAGACAAACTAAAATGCAATCTCATGCTTCTCATTCAATGTTTTGTTAATCCTTTCCACAACACCATTTTGCTCCGAGTGTCATAGGAACTATTTTGATCATTCTAATCTTATTTTCCGAATAGTTATCTTTGAATTCTATGCTAGCATACTCTCCTTCGTTATCCGACTTCATGGCTTTGATTTCAAACTAGTCTAATTTTTAGCTTTTACATTCCACCTTTTGAATACAATAAACATATCTGATTTATTTTTTAGAAAATAAACTCATACCTTTCCGGTGGAGTTGTTAATGAAAATGACTTAATAGCATAAGCCTCCAAGAGAAGTCATAAGAGCTGGTTTTTTTACATCCGTATTCACCGATTCCAGTTTCTCTCTCTATTTTTTGAAGGATCTACCAAAATTTAGAAAATAGACTCTCTTTTGCTTTCCATAGATAAATGTCTCACGTAATCTAATATTAACATGTTTTAATTCGGTAATTTTTTCTTTGACGCTAATTGTATCAAACCCATTTCATTCATGTGCCCAAGCCTTCGGTGTCATTATATCGAATCACCATCACCATCGAAACTAACCATTACTATTGTATCCCTTATTATAGTAGTTATGTTCAAAGTCCCAACCTTATTACCTGCAAGTATATTCCTTTTTGTTATCTTCCATTATCCACTCCTAAAAACTATTATTTATCTAAAATCATTAAGTTTACTTATAGAAATCGGATTCTTTCTAAGACTTGGAATATGTCTAACATTCTATAGTTTCCATTGCATTACTTGGTATTTGTAATACTCACATCATATTTTCCCACAATATCTAGAGGCTCATCATCTACAAGATAAACCTTCCTAAAATTTCCTACAATATATTTTTATAGAAAATCTTTATATAGATTAGAATGAAACGACGCACCTAAGTCTAGAATCTAAGACTCAATAGGATCTGTCTAAACTAAAAATTACTGCATCTATAATTTTATTAGTCATTTCATATGCAGAGACATCATCCTAACTCTTCTTTTTCTTCGGAGTCTTATATTCATTTTTAAAGTGCCATTTCATATTGTAGTTCTAGCAAGTGATCTCTTTATGATTTTTGGATTTTCCTCTACCCTTTGATTTTGACTTACCATAACCATGATTCTAACCTCGTTGATCTGCTATCATTATTCAAAGTAGAACATGAAAGTTCTCTTTACTCCTATAAAGATCTTCATTGACCATTACATCTCGGACAACATCTAATTTTAGTTTCTCATTCCTTGATTAATTGTTTACACTATTACCATTCCATACCAGTTATCAAGTGGAGAAGATAGAAAGATCATTATCTTAACTTCATCAAACTCAATGGTTATCGACTCTAATTGACTAATCAACACATTAACTTCATTAATGTGATTAGTCATAGATGCACCCTCCTATCTTCAAATTGAATAATTGATGCATCAAAAATACCTTATTTGAGATAGATAGCTTTTCATACAAATTTGATAGTGCTTTCATCGGATCTGCTTTGGTTTTTTCCTTTATGATGTTAAAAGTAACATTTTATGTCAATGTCAATCGAATAACACCTAAAGCTTAAGGATCCAAAAGAACCTAATCAGCATCTTTCATCCCCTTCGGTTTTTTTTCTTAATAAGGGTTCGTGTAGCTTTTTCTAGTATAGATAATATTTATTTTGTATTTTTCAAAACTCAAAGTCTTTGCCATCAAACTTATCAATCCTCACTTTTCCTTATTCTCGCCATTATTCCTTCTTATCTTACTAACCTAAGGCTTTGATACCGGTTGTCGGAAAATGAATCAAACAAAAAAATAAATATAGAAAGATAAAAACAATCACACAATATAAAGATTTTACATGGTTCGACAATGGTGCCTACTCTATGATTGCACAAGCATTTTTTATTAGGTTTTATCAAGTAGTAGTTATAAATATAAGTGATATTGCTTCTATTTATAGTGTTGATAGCTAGAATTATAAGAAAAGATCCTAATGGGCTTATACACCTGGCTTAATATTTCATAGACCTTTCAAGGGCCTCGCCCTTTGCCCTTCTTAACTCTCGCTCACTAACCGAGTAATAAGACTGTCGTGTTTGACTCTACATAGCACCTTATACTATGGGCTTCGTTCACATTAGTCTTCACAACTTAATAATATAGCCTCATACCAAAGGTCTCATGATTGTTAAATGATTGAGGTTTTTCTATTTGGAATCCTTCTAGTTTTAATTCTTATTACCTTGGTTAGATTATTCATAACTACTTATTTACAATATAGACAAGGTGAACAGTTGGATCTTTGATTAATGAATACCTTTTTTTTTTTTTTGTTACCTCCTCCATTTTTTAATCCACAGGAGGTCGAATTAAGATTGTTGTTTAAGTTTTTTCTTAAAATTTTTAACTTATCAAAATAAGAATGGAATCATGTTCTATAAGATTTGAACCTACCACATTGGGTTTTGGAGACCAATGTTCTACCAAATTGAACTAAGAGCACTTTTTTATTACAAAGAAGAAATATAATCTATCAAGTTGTAAGAAAAAAGAGCAAAATCATCCATCTTTTTTCTACCAACAACTTCTAATTCTAATTAAAGAATAAAGATGATAGCGTTACTGCTATTGGTATTATCAATTAAACAAAAGTGATCTTTGTGGCTTGCTTTCATTTAATGAGTGCATGATCTGTCTATTTGGTTGATAGAGAGTACGTGTAAGTTCTCTAACTATTGGCTAATTGGTCGAGAATAATCATAATTGTCTATCCAAGAGTCTTTTGTATGATTTTTTTCTATCTAGCTTTTTTTCATATGTAATTATATTGATGTAAGCTGTAGTTCCTTCAAGTGTTATTCTTGAATGGGACTCAAAGACCATGGATATCACGAGTATATTAGTTGTCATCCTAGGTCTTGGCAATTATTATTGCAAAGACTTGATTTTTATTTAGGCCTTAGGGGTCTATCCTATGAACAGGTTGGTTGAGTTTTTTGTATCTTGATTCTACGTGGTCATCATTACAACTTGTCTATTTTTTCACATCCAACCTTTGGAAGCGTCTACTAGAGACCATATATTACATTTGGGCTGATTAAACATCCTGTCATATGTCTCATCAGCATTTGGTTTTAACATGGTTAGGATTACATCTTGTTTTAGAAATTAGGCAAGCCTAGGGAAGACAATGGGACGACACATGAGACTGTGAGAAAATCACAAGAGCCAAGGTGTTTCAAAGTTTTAAATGCCTTTTATTAATGTTGCCATATCATTTATTGAAGAGAACACATGCTTGGATGCGATGTCGTAATTTCCCACACAGAATGTGGCCCTCTAACGTGGCGGAGGGAGCTAGAGAGACTATATAAATTTGAATTCATCTCACTCGCTCTAGGTGTCTATTTCTTCAGGTTTCATCTTCTTTTCTTCAGTCAATAGTTTTATCAAATATTTATTCTGGCAAAAGAGAGATTTTGGATTTTGGATTTTTTATTTTTTTCAAGGCTTTTATACTAACATATTATGAGGTTTAGATTGTGTTTGGACCATTTCACCACCGTTTTAATGATTTTGAGAGAAAGAAGTTACCATAACCATTGTTTCTTCAAGTTTTCCAGCAATTAAAGAACTTTTAGCTCGAGAAACTCCACTATATATATATTTTTTAAGTTTCAATAAGTAAAGAGTATTAGATCTGGGTCGTGGCCATCACTAGTGGTGGATCTAGTTACCGAAAAGAGGAAGAGAGGGGAAACCTTCCATCAGTGGCAAGGATGTCGAAGAACTTCTACTGTCATACGGCAACCTTGCAGTTATTGCAAAAAACTATATATATATATATATATATATATATATATATATATATATATATATATATGTATGTATGTATATGTATATTGGTATATGTTCGAAATGTGTTAAGTTGCCACTCAAATTTTTTTTTTAATGAAAACTAGAAAAAGTAAGCATTAATCCTAAAAGTTTTGAGTAAAATGATTGATTGTACAACTAGAAAAGACTAAGACCACTCTAGTGTGCCCTTACAAGAAGGTTACCTTGTATTTCTAGCCTATAGAAATTCGTTTATGAAAGTTTTTTTATTTTTTTTATTTTTTTATTTTTTTTATGTCTATTCATCTATCATAATTTGTGAGTTTGATTATTTAGGTTTTTTCTAACAAGTTCCAATAAGATGATTTAGAGACCGAAAATAGACGAAATCTCTCATCTAATATGTCATTGAGCTATTGGAGTCCCCTTGAAAAGATGAAGGTCGAGCCTTAAAAGCTATTAACAAATAAAAGAGTTAAAACTCGATAAAAATTAAAATATAAAATAAAATAAAATAAATTTAGACCATTAGGTCCAAGTTCATGTGTCAAACCATACAATAAAATTACAAGCCCAAGATGAAATAATCTAAAAAATAAACATAAACTTTGACCCCATGTCTACATATCATGCCATTTTTTAAATAATAAGATTAGACTTAAGTCGCAATATCGAGTTCAAGGCAAAATCTACAAGACGAAAACAATCGGTTATACCGACAAATAAATAAAAAAGAAAATTACAATAGGAATAAAATATGATGATAATAATATTAAAAAGAGTCTTGTTATTGGAATACGATCAACCTTAGGTCCTAAACCCAGTTCATCTAGACTGGCCTAAACCGACGTCATATAAAGTAAACACACAAATTCAATACATAATAAAATTAAACATGTAAAGATCATGAATCACATAAAGATGACTCTATGAAAAATAAAATAGTCAATAGGTCTTTACAAGTTCCTTGACCTATTAATTCATGTTGGCTTATTTTAATTTTGTTGGAAAAAAAATTAAATTTGCTAGCCTATTGCTAGATTCATTATCGACCAACAATTCTTCAAGGACTTTTTATTAAAAAAAATAGAAGTATTATATAGTACGCCTAAACCTTAACCCTTTTTGTTAAAAATAATAACAAATAAATAAAACAAAACAAAGGATAACAATACATCAAAATTTAAAATAAAAATCATAAATCCTACCCGCATGAGGTTAAATTTTAGAGCACATAACTATCAAAGAACTTGAGTTTAGATCTTTTTAATTCAAACAAAAATCACAAAGTCTAACAAGTCCTAATTTTTCAATTATACCCTTTAATCAATATATTTTGATTCAATAATCATCCAAATATTTCATCTTAATCATATAAGTGACATTATCAACATATGAATCAATCATGCAATACAACTCAATTTTGATGAAAAATTAATCAAGAATCAAAGATGGAGGAATTTAATTACCTAAATTATAAGTTTGGGAACTAAAATTGATAAAAGTTCAACAAAGATGAGAAAATTTCAAGCAACGCATGATCGGGCCTCAATGGTTGGATTTGATTGTTTTTTGCAAGCATCGCAATCGTCTCCTCCAAATGATTCTGATCATCTAGCATGTGTTCGAAATAGGTGGTCGAATGACGAGTAATGACACCTTCCTCTCTTTATAATGCTTACGTGTTAAAAATATAGAAAGACAAGTCTTCATATATCTTAACTTAGTAGTTTTGTAAAGAAGAGATGTAACAAAAAAAAAAAAAAAAGAATGATTAGTTATTATAGGATGACCTCATAACTTTCCAAGAATGATTGGTTTTTAATAAAGAGCTTAGTCATTGGAAAAACAAACCTTTTAAGAGTGATTCGAGTTTGAGAAATGAAAAAAAAAAAATCAAATATACGAACCATCTTGGTGTGTTTTGATTTTTTAAGGAAATAAAATCTATCAAATGTACTTACCCTTTCAAGATAAAGAAAATCTAACAAATATAATAACACCTATGGTGTAAAGAAAATCCATCCAATATACTAACAATCTTGATGTAAAGAAAGTTAATCAAATAAACTAACCCTTATGGGGTGAAGAAAATTTCATTAAATGCACTAACTCGTCGAGGTAAAAAAAATAAAATTCATCAAATGTATTAACCCTCATAGAGTGAAGCAAATCCATCATATATAATAATTGTCTTAGGGTGAAGCAAATTCATCAAATATATTAACTGTCTTAGGATGAAGAAAGTTCATCAAATGTACTAACCCTCTTTGGGTAAAGAGATCCATCAAATATACTAACCTTCTTAAGGTGAAGATTTAAAAACCAAAATAAATCAAATATATGAATCCTCTTGGGATGTTGGAGTGGCTAAAATATGACCTTTATCTTTTTTTGATTTTGAAGAATGTTCTTAAGAGAGGTTGGTCAATTATGACAAGGTGCCCTCTTGACTAGTTGTTTTGGAAATAAGTCACCTTTATAGAGTGACTACTTGAATATTTTTTGAAAATTGTTCATCTCAAAAAGGTAACCACCTAATTATTAAAAAAAAAAACGATCTCGATAGGGTGACCACCTTAATATTTTTAAAAAATGATCATTTTGATAGAGTGACCATCTAAATATTGATCATCTCAATAAGGTGGCCACTTGAATATTTTTTAAAAAATTGTTCATCTCGATAGGATGACCATCTAGATATTTTTTAAAAAATTGATTATCTTGATTGGGTGACCACTTGAATATTTTTGAAAATTTGATCATCTTGGAAAGATAACCATAGACATTCTTTTTTTCAAAATTAGTCATCTCGATAGAGCAACCACCAAAATAATTTTTTGCAAAATTAGTTATCTTGAAAAGTGGCCTCCTAGATAGTTTTTTTTTTTTTAAATAGGCTTATAATGATTAGCCTTTTAAAAAAAGGGTTTTTTTGTTTCCATACATGAACTCTCTTTATTTGCAATAGTGATAGATTATGGGCTTTTTTGGTATAGTACCTCTAAAAGAAGTATAGGTCACAACTTGTTAAACTTAACTCATCTTAAATTCGGGGAATTGGCTCAAATCTTATGTTTTGACTACTAGTTTGTTAAAGCTTTTAAAAGAGATGCTAGATTGGCGGTATGTAGTTCTAGCTTCTTACTACTCCACTTGGTCTATGAGAACGTAATCTCTCATTTTATTATTAGATCTTACTATCTTATAGGTATCATGATTGGTTTATGTAAAGTTCTAAAGGATCATGCATTCTATGGAGGGACGGAATAAAACAAAAAATATTCCTCCATTTAAAGGGGCCAAGATCATGTCGTTAAATTAACTAACAAAATATTAATGAATTAAAGCAATAAATAAAGAATTATCTCTTTTAGCATAAATTTAAACCTTTCTAGAAAGAAGTCATCCAATGTGCGATCTTTATCGATAATCCACGTAACCCAAGCACCACACAAGAAGCACACAAAATTCGTAGAGTGTTAGCTCCACCTTTTCCGACTTGTTTAGCATTTATGATTTTGAAATCTAATCGGGATAATTTTACGATAACCCAAAAGGAGAGAGGGAAAATGGTATGTGCTAGGGTTTTTAGTAAAAAAATATTATTTCTTATTTTTTACTCAATGTCGTATGCCCTAGTCCTTTTTTTCTTTGTATCATTTT